CTTGGGAAATCTTTCTGTAGCCTAAGCCTGCTTTAAATTTCTCAATAACTTTATCCCTGACCTGTCTGGTGTCTAAATCCAATCGAGAATCTGTGGCAAGATCTGAAAACTGCTGTTCACAAACGCTGTCCATCTAATCTGACTGAGCTGGAGCTGTTTTGCCAAGAAGAATGGGCAAAGATTTCAGTCTCTGTGCAAAGCTGGTAGAGACAGACCCTAAAAGACTGGCAGCTGTAATTGCAGCAAAAGGTGGTTCTACAAAGTATTGACTCAGGGGGCTGAATAATTACGCACACCCCACTTTGCAGTTATTTATTTGTAAAAAATGTTTGGAATCATGTATGATTTTCGTTCAATTTCTCACGTGTACACCACTTTGTGTTGGTCTTTCACGTGGAATTCCAATAAAATTGATTCATGTTTGTGGCTGTAATGTGACAAAATGTGGAAAAGTTCAAGGGGGCCGAATACTTTTGCAAGCCACTGTATTCTTATATATACTGTTTCCTGTATACAGTGTAATGTATAGTAAATCATCACTGAAGACTTATATACAATATAATACATATTCAATATGAATATATACAAAATTCATTGTTTTTGTTCCGCATACGGAGAAGTAATTAAACACATTTTACAAACATAACTTTGAAGGAGAAAAGAACAACGAAAATGTAAAAATTGAAGAAAAAACATCAAAGTGAAGTTTGTCTGTCTCACCTGGGCGCTGTTGTTCCTGCAAATTCTTTTATAGACCTGATCGATTATGACAGACACGTGCTCAAAACACTGACTGAAGAGGTGCAGGCGCTGGGATCTGACTTGCTGAAACTCCTGATTACACTTCCTGGCTGTTTTAGTGCTGGCTTCAAAGGCTGAGTGACAGAAAGAGGAAGCTTAATCATCAGTCCAGGTGCTTCACTTAACACACTATAACATGCAAAATGCACCCGTGGGAATAAATGAATTTCAACATGAAAAATCTGTCTGCTTAGACAGAAGCAGTCCTCTGTTCATTAATTAATCAAATAAACAGTTTGAATATCTTATGAAAACAATATAAACGTATAGATAAACTGGTTCTGCTGATTGTAGAAATACACCAATCAGATATCACATTATGTGTTGTTCTCCTTCTGCATGCAATGTAGCCCTAACCTGTCGAGGAATGAACTCCACTTGACCCCTGAAGTTGTGCAGTTGTATCTGCCACCAAGATGTGACCAAGAATCCTGACACCTTAAGGTTTTCAGCAATCACTGTTCCTTCTTTTGATAAATGCTGACCACTACAGACGGTTTGGAAATGCTCTGACCCAGTCGTCTGGCCATCACAATTGCTAAACTCGCTCAAATCTTTACACTTGTCCATTTTCCCTGCTTGTAACACGTCAACTTTGAGGACAAAATGTTCACTGCTCCCATTAAATAATCAGTTTTATTCAGTTCACCTGTCAGTGGTCATAATGTTATGCCTGATGGGTTTATATTGCACCAGCTGTTTCAGTTTGAGGTGAAAAACTCAACAGATTCATACAAATACCTTCCTTCACTCCCTGTAACTTGTCCTTCACCTCCCTCATTTTCTCCAGTGCTTTCAGGTTAGGGGCAGTGGTGCGCTGCAGCACTGCCTCTATGGAGGAAACTGACTCCCTCAGGTTCTCCAGGGAGGCCTCTACTTCCTGCTCAGCCTGCAAATTCTGACCATACACAATGGGTGATACTTGCTGGTTCTATAACCAAAGAACACCAATAGAGAATAAGTATGCTGCCCTGTTTTTCACCTTGAGCTCTGTCTCCAGCTCAGAGTAGTCAATGACTAGTCGTGCCTCTCTCTCATAGATGTCCATGGTGGCTGTAGTGCTTTCAGAATCTGTGTCCAGCTGCATAGACCGGACAAATCAATGATCATCTATACCAACACTACAGTACTTTAAACCTTTCTTTCAAATTATAATTTGAGCTGAATTTGATAAACAGTCCAGGACAGGAATGATCAGTCAAGTCAGAGTAGATACCAAACATCTCTGTGTCCTACCTGCACCTCGCTGATTTCATTCAGGCTCCCTGACAACAGGTTGATGGGCAGGTTCTGGATTTTGCAGGCCAGCAACAAGTTGTGTCTAGTCAAGCGCTTTTGCTCTATAGCCGTCTCTGTTGTCATCACCTCTCGCTGAAGCTTTGCCAAATCCCTATTTGGCAAAATAAAAAGAAATAAAGTCAGAAAACAGAGTCCATGACAAAACATGATACACAAGTCAAGTTTTGACATGGACTTATATGGTAACTCATGGCATTAGGTTGCTTAGGAAGAAGGGAACGTTTTGGGAGTGATGGTGGAGAGAAAACAGCCAATTATAACACATTACTGTTACTGAAAACAAAGCTCAAAGAAACTCATTTCATGTATATTACTGATGGAAAAAATTACTTAAATGCATCAAAAACAGAATATTTTTTAAATAGCAGAAATAAAGGCATATCAGCAACTGTAGTGGGTTATATGCAACTTTTCTGCTACCTAACAAACAGGAAACCTCACAGCAACACAACAATCAATACAATCAGCAGTGGTGCAAATGGTGACAGTAATAACTGCACAAATTGTCAAAAACAGTGGCACTAGAAGCATTGCAGAGATGTTACCTGTTCATCTCTTGAAGGACTTGAGTTTTTTGATCCAGCTCAGCCTTGGCAGCAGCCACCTCACTTTTCTTAGCTAAAAGCTTGTTCTTGTGCTCAAGTAGCTTATTCTGACCTTCCTCAACCACTGCCAACAACTTTTGCTCTTCCTGGAAGGGAACACGAGCGTTTGGTTGACAAAAAAATCTGCAAAAATCGAACTTAAGATCCACAAAGGCAACAGCCAGAAATAACCAGAAGTAGCCAGCACTGTTGCCTCAAAGCCAGAAGGTCCTGACATCAAGTCCACCATCACCCCGGGGCTAATCTGTGTGGAGTTTGCATGTTCTCCCTGTGTTTGCGTGAGTTCTCTCCGGGTACTCTGGCTTCATCCCACAATCCAAAGACATGTAATTAGTGGGGTTAGGTTAATTGGTAACTCTGAATGTTGAGTGTGTAGGGTTGTCTGTTTGTATGTATAAGCCCTGTTGCCGACTGGCGACCTTTTCAGGGTGTACCCTGCCTCTCGCCCTAAGACAGCTGGGAAACACCCCCCAGGGGAGAATGGGATGGATGGAAAATATATTGCTATGAATGTTTGTCATGTGCTTTATAACAACATAAAAAACTGAGACTTACCTTTCTCTGCTCAGTCATAAATTTCTCTTCCTTGCTGATGGTATCCTCCAGTTTTTGGACCTTCTTTCTCTGTTGCTCAAGCTGTTTTTGTTCATATTCAATGCATGTATTTAAGCGGGCATGTTGACTCTCAAACTCCAGCCTGAGTTGTTTATCACAAAACCCATTAAAGATCTGGCTTTTAAAGTTCGTCATGTGACACAGAAAATACTGGTGTGTGACTGAAGTACCGTTTCTTATCAAGCTCTGTCTGCTGTTTCAAGCGCTCCTGCTCAAACTGTCTGATGCTGTCCACTCCGATCTCAGCGCAGAAGTCAGAAAACACCAAGTTTTCTATCTAAATACAGAGAATAGAGAGGATCCATACAACATCCGATATGTGCAAGTGTAACCAGCCACAAGACAAACACTGTATTTGGAAACCCACCATTCTAGCAGACCGTTAATAAAGTTACTCACTGAACACTTCAAATTCCATTTTGCTTTTGTAAAAGTCTGAATCACTTTACAGTGTTAAGAATTAAATGGGCCAACATTCATGAAGCCAGCACAAAACACTGCAAAAGTTATAAGTTCTGTCAATTGTTAGGATTTACTGATTAAAAATACTGAAAAACTGAAAATTCAGAGACAAAGAAATTGCTCCAACAATGAATTCACTTGCAACAGAAGTTCAACGGCAAACATTTCAATCTAAGTCATGATATGTTGAGAGCAGCACCTGGTCAAGCTTGTCTCTGATCTCCTTAATCTTTGCCTCTTTTGTCTTCACACTCTCCATCTGCATCTGAATCTGAGAGTCCAGGTTTGCCAATTCACTCTCCAGACAAGAAATGTCCTGAAAACATATGACAGAGTAAATACCAAGAAACTGTAAGCTCAGATGATTTCAACACCTGTGTGAAAAACACTTTTGCGCCCTATTAAGTCTCTAAACTTAGAATGATTGCGGCAGTCCAGAACATTTTATATCAGATCATACCGCTTGGCATTTAGGGATATTTTTCTTCTGAAGGTTTTCCAAGTCATTTTTGGAGTATTTGAGGCGGGTTTGAGCACCCTGAGCCTGTGCAACGATCTGTTTCAGGTCCAGCTCTTTTCTCTTCAGCCTCATCAAATCCTGTTACATAACCAAAACACAACTTGATTCCTGTGCATAAAATACAGTGTGTATAAACCAAAACAACAACAAAAAATACAACAATTTATTATATTTCAGAGTTCTAAATTCCTTTTCTTTGCACTAACACATGCTCACAGATTTCAAACACATAGTGAGAGGAGTGCCTACTTGTTAAGCTGGTAGTTTAGTATATGTATCAGTTCTCCTGGTTGTAATAGAATAATCCTTTATTCCCCCACAAGACAAAATTTGGTTGTATCAGCAACCAAATGTAATATCCCAGTGACTACTGAAATTATCATCTATCTTTAAATATTTAATTGCTCTGTTCTCTGGTTTTCATGTCCCAGTCCTAAAACATCTCTGCATGCTTGAAAAACATCTGCAAAGGATATCAGAGTAGATTATTATTGCTGTGTTCACAGCTCCTCCAGCTAGCGTTCCCTCAATTAACATTGAGACATCCTTCAAATAATGGACTGAGACGTCAAAGGGAAGAGGACGAAGGAGGAGGAGAGGAGGCAGAAAACAGAGAATAAGGAGAGCACTTAGTGTGACTCACGCGTAACTCAGTGGTCAGCTGGGTCTTGCGCTCGTTCAGCTGCAACACGTCCTTCTCTTCCCAGCAGCGAGCTTTAGTTCGCAGGTTGCTGGAGCCTCCGGAGATTACGCCTGACTTTTCAAACATTGTCCCTTCAAGAGACACTGTCTAGAGTAGACGTGACAGATTAAATTTCTTTATGGTTCCGTCTCAAATTAGTGGATCTCAAAAGAGGAAAGTTTACCTTAAAGCGTTCCTGTCCATCAAAGGCCATACTCCTGGCTTCTTTGACTGTTTCACACACAAGAGTGTTACCACAGACAAACTGCACCACTTTCCTCAGCTGGGTAGCAACTGTGGTAGCAATAACCTGCACAACATCCACCACCATCTTGGCACCAGGCATCTCCCTCAGTCGCTCGTTCAGTGGACTCAGCTGTGCACACAGAAGTGATGTTAGGAACGACAAATTTATACTACTTGGTCTACTTGAACTACACCATTATTTCTCAGGGCCTTTTAGAAGGTTTTCCATTTTTAACAAACCCAAAAAGTCAAGCTATGATTTAGAAAGCACAGCTTGATTTTTCCCTTACAATCAAGTTGTCGATGGGAAGAAACGTCTCGCGTCCCCTCCGCTCCTCCTTGATGAAAGTGATACATTCGCAGGCTACTTTCTCTGATGCTACGACGATTGCATTCATGTAGCGGCCAAACACCTTAGTGACAGCCAGCTGGTACTTCTTATGGATAGGGCTGCACAGGTCGGACAGACGGCCATACTGAAACAGCACGTGTCACAAATTAGTTAAGAAAATTGTACAGGCAGTGCTAGTGTTAAGAAAAACAAGGTACGTTAGGCGTTATGTCCCGAACCACAGTTTTGGGGAATTGCTGCAACCTCACTATTTACTGCTTCTTACCACAGTTTCCGGGTAGAGTCTGCGGAGCTTTTCTAGCAGCTCTTTGTGCTGCAGCTGCCTTTTGTTCTCCTGCTTGTCCAAACAGGCATTCCCCAACTCCTCCATCACCTGATTCAGCTCCTGGTTCACCTCCTTAGTACGCTGGTGGCCCCGCTGCAGCTCTGCACTAAGGCTCTCCTCCTGCTGCCGGTACTCCTCAAGGGATGACCTGAGGCATACAGTGCTTTCAAAACAACATATATATATCTAACGACCAACTATACAACATATATTAACACCTCGCTGAGAGTGAAAAAAAAAAAAAGAACAAAAACAGCACAACTTCCTTTTAGCGTTTAGTGGTTGAGCTAAACACAACATACTTGCAGGTCTTGGTGTACTCCTCTAGCTTCTCTGCTCTGCATGTCAAATCTTCCAGCTGTGTTTGGTTGTACTTGATAGCGTTCTGTGATGTGAAACAGAGGTAAGATTACACTGAACAGCTATTTTATTGATTTAAATATATCAATGCTACAAAAAGAACTGTGTCATAGAAAGTACCTCAACTTCCTTCTTTCTGCGCTCGTCAAAAGCTATCTTTATCCAGTCTGCTTTCACCTCCCAGTGAAGCTTCTCTGCCTGCTGGCTGAGGACAGCCCCCTGCTTCAAGGCAAGCTCCTTCAGCTCTTTGTATCGCTCTGACTGTAGCATAAAAAAATAATAATAATCATAACAGAGTCCCTATATAACTATAACTTTTAAATGTTATTTCACCAGCCGGGCCCACATCCTCATTTTAGGTTTGACAGCATTTTTAGTAGATAAGGGCAGAAGACTTGAACATGAATTGAGGCTGCCGTTTGGGGAAGTGAGTCACCGCCAAAAGAGACTGGCGGTGGCTCTCGTGCTGTACTAATGAGAAGTGAAAGAATTGGAAAAAGGGAGGATGGGGCATGAAAACGAGAACAACAGCTTGTAGAGCCGGGGGGTCATATATAGATCGAGAACCGGAAGGGGCATGCTGGGAGGTATAGTCCCACTCCTAAAATTCAGATAATTTATCTCCAGTTATTGTTTCTTTTAAGGCATGGTGTAGTGAAAAGTACCCGACACTTCAAACAAAAATTAGCAGGAATGAAATCTAACAGACCTGATCCATGTCGAGCTCAATGTCTCTTCCACGGGCAGCTCCCTGTTCCTGGACCTGCTTCTCATAGTTCCTCCAGGACCTCTTAAGTTGAGAAATCTCCTGCTGATGCTCTTCCAGCTCCTGCTCTTTGGTTGAAAACATCCTCTGACTCTTCTTCAGGGCATCACGGAGATCCTCAGCCTTCTTTACGTGATGAGACGTGTTCACTTTCGCTTTTATGTATTGGGACCGAGACTGGGACAGGATTTGCTCCTGTGTGCTGTGTGAAAGAATGTTTCCAGTTTACTTAATTTAATAACAGATTTTTAATTATATCTGATTTGATTTGGATTAAAAAGGTGTCACCAGTGGCTTTCCTGTAAATGAAAACAAAATTAGTGAAATGAAAATATAATGCATCCATTTATAGACCTTCAAATTTGAAGCCATATACGAAAACTAACACACCGGATCTCTTTGTCAATGTGTTGCTGCTCTCTTGTGAGCCGTCCGTGTTCTTTCTTTTGAGTTTTGACTGTCTGCTCCCCAATCAGCAGTTTACTGTTCATTGCAGCTGCAGCATCCTGTCTCTTCTTCAGGGTGTCACTAAGAGCACTGACGCCCTGCTCATTATGGTAGAGCTCAGCGAGGCTCAGCTGCAGGCGGCTTTGGTGAAGTTCATCCAACAGTGCCTGGTATTTCTGTGCCTGGAAATATGAACAAAGATGAATAACGGCAACTCACTGTCATTCTGACGCAAAGGTCCGCGGAACATCACTAACCCTCTCATATATCGGATCGAAAAAACTGTTTATTGGCAACTATTCTCAGAAACATGGAGGTAGAGATTCTATCAACCATACCTGACTGTATTCATGGGGCCAGAGCAGGCTGGGTAAGGTTAAATGTGGATTTGGTAAGACTGTAGGGCCGTTCGATATAACGATATATATCGGTTGACGATATGAAAACGTCTATCGTTCCATTTTATGCTATCGTTTGTTTCGTGGTGTCGCAAAATAAACTGTTTACAGCAACATTTTTTCATCGTTTTGATGGTCACTGTAGAATTTCTTAAACTTCTATCTTTCTCTTATATTTAATATAACCACACTACGGAAGGACAAGCGACTGTTTTTACGCGTTGTCGTTGTTTATTTTCCACATAAACCTTTCACAATAAAGCTGATGATCCTTTTGAGATTTTTCAAAATAAATTGAATCACATGAAATAGTATGTAGAGTGTTTACAGACGAGAAGCTAAAAAGAACCGTCAGGTGCTAAAAAAAATAAACCTTAGAACAGGCTTTTCCCCGCAGCACACCGTGTAATACGTACTCACAAAGAAAATTGCGGCCGTTTCAACTTATTTAACACTCGACTCCAGGTACACAACGCCCAGCTGAAAACACTTCACGCAAGTCAAGTTGCCCGAGATTCACAGAATTTACAGAAGATGTAAAATTTTTGTGATATATATTGTCGTCGGGACGATAAATGTCTTATATCGGGATATGAGATTTTGGTCATATCACACAGCACTACAAGACTGTAATTCACATTGGGAGTGATGACGCACTGCATCAATCCAAGGTCACTAAAATTAGTCGGTGTGTAATTGTGCTAAATCATTGCCATACTCTGTAGTTTTCTCTAGTGACATCTTGAGCTCTATGCTCTCCTTATAACTGCCTTCTGAGTGGTGTCTAAATATGGGCTTCATGGATAATTGGAGAAATTTTGGGTAAAACCTGGTCATGTTAAATGAAGTGATTCAACAATTAGCTTTACTCCTCATTGTAATGTTGGCTTGGTAATGGTGACTGTGAAGATGTTTCCAACGCAAATGAATTCACACAGGTAATACCAGGGAAAACGTGAATTTGCAAAGATGTGAACACCCCATTAGATCTCACAAGTTTAGACTGGGAGAGGAAAACTGTTCTTCAACATCATTTGTGACTTTTGGGGTGTTTGTGTTTTTTAAAGTAAAATAAGAATGCACATTTAAGCCCCTTATTCAAGAAGCAGCAATAGTGACATTATAATCTATCTGCTGTCAGGCACACTTATGCCATTTGTAGGCGCATGTATCTAGAGACTCCACATGTGGGGATGTAGAAGCATGACAGAATAGAGAAAAATAATTTCTTGGTATGCTACCTCTATTTTTTCCTGAGACACCTGTTTCCTCTCGACAGTAGCAGATTTCTTCTTGTTAAAGTGAAACTGAGTGTCTTCTTTGGCCTTCAGCAGGGCCTCTTTCTTCTTGTTGTATTCTGCAGCATATTCTTTGGACTGACTGATCAATTCCAGCATCTTGGTTCTCTCCTTTGGGTCCTTCAAAGCTATGGACTCCACTGCCCCCTGGTGAGAAGCAAGCGGAGTACAATCTTTGTAAGACATCTCTTACCAACAGTGCCAGTTAAAAAAAAACTCTCACATTTAGTTATTTATTAACAATTAGATGCAAATGGCCTGGTGAGCTTGCTTTTATGCAATGTCTACACATATCTACACATTCAGCATTCAGATAAGGATTCAATCCTTGTCTGAGTGTCACTGTGGATGAACAGCTTGTGCCATTCAGGGTTAGGTTCAAATTTCTACAGTACATGCCAAACAAGCCCATTAAGTATAGCCTAATGATCTTCTGGGTTTATGATGCATGCATCCCCTGTGCAATACTTGGAATGGTTTACAAACAGGGGAAGAAGGTAAGAAGAATCTGAGGGGAAAACATTGTCCAGCACTTGTGCAGTAAATTGCGAAATACAAGAGACAACATCACCACAGATAACTGTTTCTCCAGTGTGCCTCTTCCACAGTGTCTGCTGCAGACACTATTGTGGGGACTCTACAATAGAACGAGGCAGACATCCTTCCTAAGATGAAGGTTTCCGAGTCCAGGGAGGTTTACAGCACAGAGTTTACACTCAAACCGTTGCATGGTCAGCTACATCACCAAGAAAGGAATAGCTGTATGGCTATGAGTCCTCAGCATGATGATCACAACAAAATGGTGGATGAAAATACCAGAAAGAGGAAAAACATAATTTATCACATTCTACAACAAGCCCAAAGGAGGTGGAGATACCAGTGCCTACACCTTTTTCATGGCTCAGCACCTTGAATTAAAGAACGGCATCACCACAGCATGGCAGGCCTTCCTCACTGAGCTCTCAAAGGAGCTTGTCACACCACATATGAGAAGTCAACTGGAAAGTTGCCCCCAACTGCAAACCCCGATCACTGAAGCAATGGGAAGGTGTGGGTGACAAAAGCCACAACTGAGCCACAGAAAAAAAGCAGACCCACTTATGGAAGAGTGTAGGGTCCAGTCTCTCGTGCATCTAAGGATTAATGCAAGGGTTAATGTGACAGTTTACTGTTAGCAATCTTCTATGTTTGAGTAAGTATTTTTAGCGTGTTATATTTGACTGGTTATGTGTTAATTAACTTCTTATTGTTTGTAAATCACTGACCCTAATCCCTGCACCACAAAATATGCCATTATATGGTAAATACAAACACTTTGGGGCATATTTTTCAGTTTGTTGTACAATACTGCAGTCACCACAGCTATAATGTGAAAACTGACAAAAAAAAAAACACTACAGCAAACAAATTTGGCAAAGTTTTTTTTTTTTTTCATGTTGACTTTCAGTAAATCAGTGAAGTGCAAGCCTCTGGCACTTTACCTGGAACACCAGACAGTTTTGAGCTTTAGTCAAAATGCCAATCTTCTCAAGCTCCTCCACATACTTGGCAAAAGTGACACGTAGGCCATTAATGTGATACTCAGAGGAGTCCCCTGAAAAATACAACAGATATCAAATGAAAATGACTGAATTAAAAACTGTATCCTGAGGTAAAACATGAATCAGCCTTAAGTGCCAAAAACCTGATTACTTCTAAAAATCAAACAAAACACTTAACCTCCATAAATCACACAAAGAAAATTATCAACAGCCACAAATACAATTTTTTTGTATTTTTAGGAAAAAATCGAATCATTCCTGTCTTAATGGTTCTTTAAGTTACATGTGAGAATAAAGTATAAATAATAATAAAATCATATCCAAGTTATTGCTCATTATACCAAATTATGAAAAATGTAACCACTGTGAATCACAACTAAAGGAACACTTGGGATAATAAGTATTAGGTAAGATCACTAACCATGCTATGCTGGTGTATAATAGTTATAACTGTGTACTTTGTGTATGCTTATTATCTGATCATTGCCAGTACATAATAATAAAGGTGGTTGCTGCTTTATTAGCATTTTCCATATAAATCTGGCTTCTTTATGAGTCAGCACCCAGCTGTCAGTTTATATTATCTTTTTTTCTTAGATGATTCTCTTATCCTAGATAAATATTGAATGTTATTAATGTGGTAAACTTATATTAAAGGACCATCATTATATATGAAAACTTGCATAAACAAATATACACATTATTCGCTATAATTTTAATTTACGTTTTACAGTTGTTATTTTTGGCCTTACATATGCTACCCCCAGTAAGAAAAAACTTGGCAGAGTCTACTGACCTGTAATGATCCTACAAAAGACCGTCTCTTCCTCTTTATCACTGCAGTACCTCATGGCCACCCTGGCAGTTTTGGAGACGGGCTTACCAACGTGAGCTCCATGGATCAGGTCTTTCAAGTGCTTGACTCGGAGAGAAGAAACCCGCTCCCCCATGACAAAGCTTAGGGCATCCATCACATTAGATTTACCTAGTATGATTTAAAATCATTGACATAAAGTTTTCAATATGAATTTATTTTAAATAACCCAGCTCTGGTAGGACGACCATACAGCTAGCCTGACTTTTTAGGCAAAGTCTGTTAACATAACAGGCGGGATTTAGAGGTTGTTCAACTATTTTCTGTATTCCTTACATGAAAAATATAATTTCTAAGTAGATGATGTAGTTCTTAGGACTACATCATCTACTTAGAAATTGTATCTTTACTTAGCAAACCAAAAAGAAAGAAAGATATACTCCGCAGGCTAGCCGCTAGCTTAACAATTATTTACCATTAGCTAGCTAGCTAGAACACGTCACCAATAAAAACTTTACTTACCTGAGCCATTTGTGCCAATTATGCAATTAAATCGCAAGAATGGCCCAATAATTTGTTTTCCTCTCCATGACTTAAAGTTTTCAATATCTAGTTGTTTTAAATAACCCATCTTTGTAAGTGAACCCTGAAGCTAATCTGAGTGTCTGAGGCCAGGCCCTCTAATGTGGCAGACAGGACGTGGAGAGGCGGGAAACTACTGTCTGCGTTTCCTCACATTAAAAATATAATTTCTAGTTTCTAGTTTTAAACTGAGTCAGCCTCTGATCTGTTGTTGTTTGTTTGTTTTTGTTTTTTTCATTTTGTTTCACATGTACTTATATATGCTTTATTATTACAAAGGGCTACTAAAAGTATGAAAAAAATAAGAGGCAGGTGTGGGGGGAAATTCAAAAGATTTTCTACATTAAAATGCAAAATTTATGAGGGAAAACTATCAAATGTATAAGGAAAAAATGGCAAATCTTCAAGATGAAAGTGGCAAATTTATAAGAAAAAAGTAGGAAATTTGAAGTAAGGAAAGTTACAAATTTTAGAGTAAAAAATGGCAAGATTTACTAGAAATTTTACAAGACATTTCTAAGAAAATCCTCTCTGGAAAACCACCCAAGCACTTAACACTATAATCCCTATACCATAAGGCTTCAGTTTATCATTTATTGTGGTCCATGTGCCAAACAGCTAAAGATTAATTTTATAATCTGTCAGTTGTTTCTCGCTGTACCAAAAATCCCATTTCAATAGCATGAAGGTGTAACCAGCGAGCATCTGTTCATACTGTAGTAGTTTTTGATACACAAAAGCATCACCTCATTTTAATTAGTGGGTTATTTTCTTATGAATAGACTGTATGTTTATAACAGTGTGATGATTTTTAGCTAAAATCACAAGTATTTTTTTGTTGCTAAATCCAGTTGAAAAGCATAATCTAGTTAAGTCATCTAATGTTGGTATAGTGTAGAGCAAACCCAGTGTGCAAAGAGATTCGGTTTTCCTGACCACAAAAATGCTATTTTTGGAATTATTCCTGACAAATTTACAATTTTTATTATAAATTTGTCACTTTTTTCTCTGAAATCTATACCCTCACGCACTGTCCCTTGTTTTTAAGGCCTACCTTCAGTAGCCTTAATTTAACCACCACTTAATCTCCATGAACGTGTATTATGAAGAAACCAATTCACTTGCTCAGTAGTTGGCTAGTGAGTGATATAAAACTTTGTGTGAAAGGTTTGGCCTCAGCTTGGTATGGAGGCCATTTGTTCCATAAAGATATCGTAAATATATGCATGCTATAAAGCTGCTGAAACAACAGCTAGGTGTAGTGTCTAAATCATATTTAACTTCATTTAAGCCCATATTGGGGTGATCGTGGCCCAAGAGTTGGGCGTTCGCCTTGGAATCGGAAGGTTGCCGGTTCGAGTCCCGGCTCGGACAGTCTCGGTCGTTGTGTCCTTGGACAAGACACTTCACCCGTTGCCTACTGGTGGTGGTCAGAGGGCCCGGTGGCGCCAGTGTCCAGCAGCCTCGCCTCTGTCAGTGCGCCCCAGGGTGGCTGTGGCTACAATGTAGCTTGCCATCACCAGTGTGTGGATGACTGGATATATAAAGCGCTTTGGGGTCCTTAGGGACTAGTAAACCGCTATACAAATATTCCCTCATTACCTTGTGTGTGTCTGCCTGTGTTCCTGGTCATGTCGTTTGTGTTTCTCCGTGTAAGTCAGTGTTACTCCGCATCTCTCTGCCCAGCCTTCTTCGTGTCATCTCTGTGTATTCCCCGCTGCCCTTATGTTTTCAGATTTGTCTGTTAGTTTTTCTCAGTTTAGGTTCAGTTCTGCCCTCACCTTGGTTTATTGTTCACTGTAAATAAAACCTCACTCGCATCTCCACCGCCTACTGGATCTTGGGTCCTCATTCATTCCACCACACAACTGCTGCCCCATGTGAACTCATGGGCTTTGATCAGTGGCTTTGGGTCAGTGGTTGTTGATCAATGGTCATGAGAATTTGCATAATTAAGATTAAGGAACTGACCTCCCAGCCCATTGTTCCTTCACTGGGCTGGTTTCAGTCATTATGCAAATGTACTGTTTATAAGATGAAACCTGCAGTCAGCTGAGACTGAAGACGTCACTTGGATGAGTGACGAAACGTTTCTCCCACAAAACGCTACGTCCAGATGAACAGAATCCACTTTTGGAGATTTACTTACCTGGACGATTGAGCATGCATCAAGACATATTATACTGTATTTTAACTGCATATATGAGATTATTTCCTATAGGACTGCTGTTATGGATATGGGTCATGTTAGATAAGATCCCAAAATCTCATTTTACCAAAATCCTGCTTCTGCTACATTAGCTTTATTTACCTGCAGTGGAAACACCAGTTTTGGTCAAAGCCATGGTATTGATAGGATCTTGAAACACTGTGTGCACAACTTTCATGTTACTTCCAGGTAAGTGAGACATCCTCCTTATTTCTTAGCAACAGCAAAACCCTGAGAAACTAAAAAACCCTTCATGCTGGTGATGCTATCGTCAACCAAATCCTGTGTTCATTTATTTAGATAGTTCTCTATTTGTGGTCAGTTTGTGTATTTGTGTGTGTATGTGTGTGTTCACTTATACAGTAGTTTATTTATAATGCATTCACATATTTTCCTGTTGGGCACGACTGCAGTTTTTAACAATAAAAGTTTCAATACCGATATGATGCCCAGAGATGTATGAGCATAGACTCTGCTACAGCAGTCAGTTGATGTCTGCTCTATGCATGACATATTTGACTGATCTGGATAGAGTCCTTGCTAACTTCAAGCTGGTGTTCCACAAAATCAAATTGTAGCATTATTTGAAATGAGATCTAGTCTAGACTGTTCTGACTGTGTGGTTCTTCCACATGCTACCTGATTGTTAAATGAATAAATCGCTAAATTGTAAAAATATCCTCAAAATTCAATCAGTCAGTTCAATAACTGCCAACAAACAAGAGTCAAAAGGAGGATAATCTGTCTGGTTTATTCTGCAGGAGATGTTGTTAAAAGTCTGATCTATAGCTCCAGCTGATGACAGGACCTGAAGGATCTGCTGCTAATGTTTTAGTACCAGATACCTTTAGTCCATTGTAAGGAACCTATATAGGCTTGTATCTCATTTTATATGGGTTCTTTAAATAAATATACTGAACTTAATGAAATATTCATTAAATGTAACTTATATTTCGAGTCATGAACAAAGAGCATTCTTTAAATATATGTCCAACAGTCTATACTGAACAGTGGTTCCTCTAAAGGCTTTTCAAGGATTCTTGATGGATATTCTGATTTCTGATTGTTTTAAGCCATCTTTTCCACAACTACCCTCAGATTTGCTATGGAAGCCTGTTCAAAAAAGGGCTTACGATGATCTGAGTTACTAAATCGTTTAGTTAAATAGGAGCAAACCACAGTAGTGGCATAGAATCTGAAATAAAATAGCTCAAATTTTATTCTGTGAAACTGAAATGGATTAAAAAAAATACTATCTTAGCATTTTGTGTAAAAAATGTCAATGTTAAAGACTGAGTGAATGCTTAATTTCTCTACTTTTGCTAAACCCAGCCAGTAAATCAAAGTAAGGTCAGATATAAATAACTGATCATAACTGCCTCATTTCCCCTCACACAATTAATCTTTGCACTCCCAAATTATTCTTGTGTAAAACTATTTCACTCAAAAGAAGGACTACAAGGTCTGCTGAAAGACAGATAAAACGGGTATGTTGGGTTTTTATTGGTCTCACAATGATAAAGTCGAGGAAGCTTTAAATTCAAAGCTGAGTCAGCCAATTTTTAAGTTTCTCCTCTATCTGTGGTTATACAGTCCTCAATAAGGATGGTCACGGACATACTCCATGATATGCTTCAAGGCCAGCCATGTCTCTGAGGCAGTGGGGATGATCTGATCAGCTGGCAGGATAAAACCGTAGCGGCCAGTGTCCCTCAGCTCGAAGGCAAAGGAGTATTTGATTCCCGAATTGTAGGACCAGTCAATGCTACCCCCGCTGGCTTGATCTGAGCACGAAAAAATATAAAAGATGTATTACTAGCAAGAATACAAGATCTCTTATTAATACTGCTAGTCATAACAATAGCTATATCACTTTTAGTTTTGATTTGGGTTGTTTATTAAGCTATAAAACATAATGAAATGGAAATTAAAAAAACATAGGCACAATAAATAAATAAATAAATAAATAAAAATAACTGTGCTTGCACTCGAGCGAGTATTTATTTTCCTCAACCAATTATTCTGCATGATTGCAGCTCGTCGTTTCATTTATCCATCTGTAACTTTAGTATTGAAGTCACTGTGTACTGGTCTGGTTAAATGAGAGAAAAGATTTACTTACAGATGATATTGCAGATGCTTCCAACCTGGTAGGCGGTGCCATAGAGAGACGTCAGTTTCTGCGCTGCTGCTGTGCCAACAGAATGCTGCAGAGAAGCAAAGCGAACAGCACTGTAGCGAAGAAGCCGTATCAACTCCTCTCCCTTTATTGGCATTGCCCTTAAAGCCAACTTTTCTCACTTGGTTGCTGCTTGCAAACAGAAGGACTGAAGAGCTGCTTACAGCCAGAGCTGTGTACCTAACACCATAGTGAACTAAACGTGGAGGTAAAAACATCTCACTTGCCCATCAGCTAATTTTATTTTTTTGAGACTTTAGGAACTTTGACCATGCTCTATTGTAACAGTTTTTGAAACGATCAGAGAAACAGATGATGGGAACTGAATCCTTGCAGGCTATTTGGAGGGAGAAAATCACCCAATGTCCAATTACAAGAACACAGGCCACAAATCACTGCTGATGTAGGGGTGGCTGTGGCTCAAAAGGTAAAGCAACCTATCTACTATTTGGAAGGTTTTTGGTTTGATCCCCGACTACTCCACCCTGCATGCCGAATGTGGGCCGTGGGTAAGATACTAACCCAAGTTGCTCTCTGATGCTTCTATTGGAGTGTCAAAGTTTTTAAAGAAAATACTTGATTGATCAGGTAGAGTAGAAAAGTGTTGTGTAAGAAACAGTCCATTTACAGAGAATACACATGATAGTGTAAATTCAGGGGACTTTATCATCAGTTGAAAGTGACTCTCCTGTTCAGGAGTTTTACAGTTCATGGCAGCTTGATTAATATAGCCCAAAACCACAAATTTGTGTCACGGGGG